CGTACCTGGACCCGCCTACTATCCTCGGAAACGTAAAATGATTGGCTAGAATCTAAAGTGTATCACAGCTCAGGGAAATAAAGCACTGAAATGTGGCTGCTTTTCGGTCTGATTACTACCGTTTATGTCAGAACTGGTGCCATCAGGGCACCGGACACCGGTACCCATCCCTAGTCTGAACTGGAGGTCAGTGAATCACATAGTTCGTTTCTGTATTTGATGCAGCAAAAGAGAATTTGGCCCTCCTCCTGCGGCGTGTGAAGGATTCAAAGACTAATGTGAGGAAAGCAGCATTGCAGGTACCTGGAGCTCAGCATGATCAGCAACAGCCACGACTTAGATTGAAGTCCTTTCCTGTGGGTGGGGGTGAATATCTGCATGTTTCCAGGCTGACTTGTGTGCTCTTCCTACACAGGCCCTGCTGGGCCTCCTGAAACATGATGTGATCCCCGTGAGTTGGGAGAATCTTCAGACTTTGTCAGAGCGCTGCAGAGACCCATCTGTGTCTGTGAAGAAGAAGGCCCTGCAGTGTGTGGGGGAGCTGCTCAGTGTGAGTGGAGCCACATACTGACGGGACTGTCGCTGAAGCGAGCGTGGGTGAGAGCTAACCTAACATCTCTCTGCCAGGTTAAACCAGAGTGCAGTGTGGTGCAAAGGGCGTGGCTGCAGGGGGTGGTGCCCGCCGTGGCGGACTCTGAGACCTCGGTGCAGGACAAGGCCCTGGAGGCGCTGGACCAGGTGCTGCTCAGTCAGGTCAAACCGTACTCTGCTGGCTGCCAGCTGGATGCCAGTCAGAGGCTGATGTGGGACCTGCTGGGCCTGCTGTGTCACCAGTGCCAGAAGCTCAGGTGAAGCCAGCCCAGCGCTTGTTTGTGTGAAATAACATGACGTAATGTTTAATGTTAAATACTGACTGTGTTTGTACCCGGTCTCCAGTCGTTACTTTAGCAAGGCCTTCACCATCTGGTCCAAACAGAAGAAGTTCACGCCGTCATTTATCTCCAGCCTGATCTCACATACTGAGGCTGATCACGCAGCCGGAGCCTGGCTGCTGCTCTCCAAGGTGGTTTCTTCATCCTCCAGACTGCCTTATGGCAAGATCCTGGACGCCTGGGACAAGATGGTCAGGTGGGCGAGACCAAATCAATCTGTCACATTTATTTGAATTAAAATGAGCACTTTATGATCTAGCCTGTAATTTGGTGGAAAATGGTGAAATCTGCAAACCTTTGTTTTTGTTTTGTTCTCGCTCCACCTTCTGGATGCAAACTCAGTTCCACCATTTAATAAAAACAATCTGCTCCTGGGTGTTGTGGGCTGGAAACAAAACAAAACAAAGAAGGTGAAGAGCAACACTACAGACTGATACATGATAGGCTGTGTGTGCATACAAACAAATCTATCCCGTTGTAAGGAGGGGCTGACGTGTGGCGCAGAATGAACCTTTGTCCAATCAAAAAATGGCAGGAAATGGTGATTTTCAGGAACCTTTCCTCTCTGGGAGATGTGATGTTGTTGTGGTTGGAAAGACAAGAGTTGATGTTTTTGAAACATGAAGGATATGTTTGGTTTTTGTTTGGAGAGTGATGAAACTTAGTTTGGTAAGCTGTGGCCGCTGTCAGGAGACACACAGGAATCTGTGTTTACATCTTTTTGTGTAACACAAAACTCTCTC